GGTCTACCACGATTCCATTAGGTAAGTAAAATGCAGGTTTTAGCACTTGTCTAGAATTTTGTTTTATCACCAAGGAGACAGAGTATCTGTATTAGATAGCTGCCTGGTTTAGATTTTGATTTTCTATCCCCACATTATTGAGGTACTAAACAAGCTTTGGAGCATTTATTCACTCAGACCCCTGGGAAGTAAGACTATTCCATCCCCTTTATAGATAACAACTTGGGTTCAAAGGCACTTCGTTTCTTGCCTTTAAGCAATAAGGAAATACTTGAAAGGACAAGAACAAAGTTAAAGATTCAGTTAATAAACATTCCAGAGAATGATTGTCAACCTTTTCTAATCTATACCCCTTCAAGTGTCTCTGCTGAGATGCAGATATGTGTTTAGTGACTTTAAACTTAATGACAAGAGACTTCATTTTCCTAGTTACCATTCACAGACTCTTTAGTCTGGGAAGTCACAGGTTAAACACTTTTGCTCTACAACTTCAGAAATTCTTCAGATCCAGGGAATTCGATAGGGAAATTACCCCTGAAAGGTATCAGTGGGTCTACCCACAATCTACATCTTGAGCAGCTGGGGACAAGTTCACACCTAGGCTAGGTTTCAGCTTTGCTCAGCTCCCTATGAGTTTTACCATCAGTCAGCCAACAAAAAAAAAACCACAAGCCAACAGGATTAGTTTCACGGTCTCTGGAGACTGGAATTTATGTATTTAATTATCTCCTACTTGTCCTCCACAGAGTGTATGATCTCTCAGTACTGAGTGCCACTCACAGCACTGATATACTGACTAATAAACCTCTGTGTATCTGGCTCTTGTCTAGAGATCAGTGAACAGTTCAAAATGAATAATATATCTGATAAATCATTCCTCTTTTGCTGGTCATATTATTGTGTAGAGACAATCTCATTTTCTCAAAGATATGGTTATTTGTAACTATTTGCCAAATATATTTTGCAAATTAGTTTTGCTCTGCAGACTATTCCCAAGTAATTCTTCCTGGCAATTCTTAATACCCCACCTGCGTTGCTCAGCTTTGGTTTGGCATCATAACCCCATTGGGAAACTGTTCCCTGGCTAGCTGGCAGCAGCTCTCCTTGTTTTTGTGCAGTTTGTCACACAGTAGCTCCAGAGGGCAATTGTCAAAATCAGAACTCCAGTGTGTTAAGCCACATAATAATAATGGCCAGTCTTCGCAAACGAAGATTTGGGGAAAGGTCTTTTACCTTTCCAGCCTGCGCAATGGATTTTTTAGGTGAGACACAGCCTGCACTGAACTGAGCCCACCCTTTAATCCTAAAGTTCATCTGCTGGGGCCAAGCAAGCTTGGACAATGGCAGTGAGGTCCTCGGGACGTAGGTTTGTTTAGAGTGACCTTCTCATAGATGGATGGCCTCACAGGCCTAACGGGCTCCATCTGCCCGGGGGGACTGGGATTCGAACCTGGGTCGCAGCGGTGAGAGTCCCGCATGCTAACCACTAGGCCACCAGGGGTCCCCTAAGCCACATACAGAGTGTGCCTTCACAGCACCCCTCAGTGAGCAGAGGTTAAAAGCTTAATACCTCTGTCCCAAAGAGATTACAGAGGACGAGTCGGAAGGGGTTTGGCAAAGAAAGCAAGGCATAGATGTGTACTTAGGGACACAGAATGGTGGATGGAAGAAAGGGTTGTCAGAGCCTGCATCTGCATTTCCAGTGCTCTCTGCAAGCTGGGGTGGTTCCGCCACCTGTGTCCTCCACCCACCTCCTGAAGCCAGAGATACCCAGAAAGAGATCCCTAAGCACAGCTAGAGCACGTGGCCTCAGCATGGGCTCTGCAAACATGCTGGATCTTACACCAGGAGAGGAAATTCACTGCACTGAACCTCAGGCTGTCAATGGGACACCTTGAAATAGTAGCCCTGCAATTCCCTAGGGAGTCAGTGCGAAAGACAGGCACTTCCAAGCAAGGATCGATACCAGAGGTGGGACAATGTGCCTTCTGCAGGAATCCCATGTCCTGAAAAGGCCTACAGTAGTAGTGTGGGTGGGCACTCAGGGGTACAGGATGTCAAGCTGTCTCCAAGTTGGCATTCCATCCTCTTCCACATCCTTTCCTCTTCTACATAACTGTTTCCACATTTGGATCTAGGGAGTTTTCACACATGTAATTTTTTCCCCTTACAAAATCAGTGTTAAAATCTTATTTGACCATCAGTCAAATGACTGTGTCTCTGAGTGAGCAATTGTGTGCAGCCTGGGAGCACTAGGCACACACCTTTTAAACTAATAAACATTTAAGTCAAGTATTTACTAGAAATATTTCTTAGAAACAAAGTCACTTGCAAGTACTTTACAATTCTGCTCTAAGGGCACAATGTCTTTTGTCCCATTTAAAACAGCTGAAGGACTAACTCTTCAAAACATAAGATTTCTTAGATATATCTTTCAAAACATTATCACTCGGATGATGCTAATGAGATATTTATATGGTGAAAATGAGACTTATGGAATTCAAAAACACAGTAGTTAGTAAGTAGGACAATACTAATTTTAGATACTAAAGCTGTTGATTAAAATAAGAGTTATTTTCATGGGATCAAAGCATATGGTTATGGAAAAATTAGCAGATTTTAATTTGCATGGAACAGAAAGATCTGTTTATATAATAAAAGAGAAAAATGACCACTGCAAGCGAGAAACACTTTAAACGCTGTCAAAAACATACAGCAGGATAAGAAAAGCTATACCTAAACAGCAGCACTCACATAATTAAAAGTAATATTTGCATTAATCTGATAATGCCAGGCTTTATATTGCAAAACAGCACTGGTTTGTGTTCAGACAAACCCACAGGCAAACAAGGCCGGTCTGTGTCACAAACAAAATACAGTACTGGAACTGCCAGCAACCTCATCCCCAAGCTCAGAAACAAAGTAGACCACTGCAAAATGGTTCTCATAAATTAACTTTGAGTGGTTGAGAACATTTCTGGAATTGAATAAAACAGGCTGCTTTCTCGTGACTCATTTTTGCCTGAACTATTGCAGTTTCCATGTCTTTGTCACCCTCCCACAGTGAGTGCTCGCCAGGCACTGTGGGTTAAAGGGCAGGATCACATCTGTGGTTTCAGTTGCACAGACCCCTCCTAACAGCCAGGAGCACGAGCACTCTTTTGGTTCTGTGAACAGGCCACCGCTGCCACAACTGCAGCACTCGGATCGCCCAGGGCTTCACAACAGACATGAAGAAGAGAGATGAAGCAGCACTGCCTTTTTAGTAGTCATTTTAGCCTGACTGTGGACTGAAGTCCTGTAGTTTATAAACCTAAAGGGGATTTAAACCTCCTACTGCTAAGATTCACCAAAACTAAAGCAAAGAGTAAAACAGCAGGCAGACCCAGCAGACAGCCGTGTTTGTCAGCAGTTCCCCTCCAGTGAGGGGAACCTCAGACGTATTTAAACCTGTGATCACAGACAATTACCATGCTGAGCAGCATGAGTAAAGTCAATGCTTTTTCTCTCACTCTTGCATCATCCAGTAGCACCTACTTTGCAAAAATGGAGTACTACAAGAAAGCAAAGCTCTCTTTTTTCTTGCAAACATCTGAAAAGATCAGGCAGCTCAGCTCTATTCAGACCCCAATGAGACCTCGGGGCTTACTACTTATCAGCAAGTTTGGAAATTCCACCCTGAATATTATGGGACATAACCCTGGAGCTGCCAGCGAGCTAACACAGAGATGCATTTAGAGCAATAGGCACTTGTATCAGCTGAGGATTTGTACCCAAACAGTAAGGTATTTGACAAACATGTCCTGACAGATGCGTAACAGCACTACCTATTCTCAAATACTTGAAAGAAGGAAAAGGTGTAAAGATACAGATTTGTTTAAACCAAGCAATATATAATTCTTCTACAAGGAGTAATATACCTCATGGCACAAACTTAACTTCCGTCTAAAAGAAGTAGCAGTATTTCCTCAGAAGCCATCTTTTAAAGATAACACAAACACTTGTTATATTTTACAGGCATTTCACATCGCCAGAATTTTTCTCCACTATTTTCGTTTTGAATTTATATAGGGCTCAGCAGGTGCTTTGCTAAAGGTTGATTCAGAAAACAGGAGAAGCTGGTTATCATCTTCCTGGAGGAAAATGTATCCGACTCTGATGAGGACCATTGCTGAACTGCCACACAGCAGAGCCTCCGATGACCTTGTTTGATCTCAATGAGCACAACACAAGCAACAGTCCTTGCTTGTGCAAAACTATATTCCCTACTTAAAAAATATAATATTGAATTTCTTTAATCCCCTTTTTTACCTATTGCATAGCACTAGATCACATTTCAACAGTCATATATGGGGCATTAAACCCACACTATTTCACAAACTTCAGGGAAGGGATCTCAGCAGTCCCAATTCGGCAAACATGTTGGGGCTGTAAAAGCTGATATCATGTCTTGAGTGCAGCAACACTCCTAGCTCCCAGCAGACACTCTCTCTCTATTAACTTCACTGTCTGCCCCTTATTTCCAACCCATAGTGAGCACCATGGTGGGGATATTTTCACTTTTCTCCCACCTCACATGAAGGAGTTCCCCATCCTGGCCTGCTGCTCACAAAGCAATTTATGGACCTTATTTCATTGCACAGGGCCCTCACCTTGGACCCTCCCACCCTCACCAGGCAGAAGGCAAGGCATGGGCTTGCTCTGAAGACAAGCGCATGAATGGGCTGGTCTTGGTGCCCTTCACCAGCCGGGTGCTGCCAGAACCCTGGGTCATGGCTCTCCTGCAACCAGCCACTTACTTCTATTTCCCTTTTCAATAGAATTCAAATCCTTGAAATTTCAAAGAACTTGATAACTTTAACACTTCTATCTCTCTGGCAAATTTAATAGAAAGCAGAAAATAAGTTCAAAAGTTATTAGGAGTCAAAAGATACAGACACAGACTGGTCACAACCACCCCACTTCATTACTAAATAAAAGTAACCTTGCAAAAACCTTACCAAAAGCCTGGGAAATCTGGAAAAAAGGGCAGGTAAAAGTCTGTGGTGATTCCATCAAAGTTCCCTGATGGGTTCCCAGCACAGCAAGAAGTATCCAGCCTGGCCTCCACTGGATATTACAACAGCAATTCGCACAGCTGGCAGCACGATCAAGTCTGGCACGAAGAGAAACTGGTAGCTTCCTCCTCACTCATGTCAGAGGCAGCACAGGACTTCCTTTCTGCCTCCTTCCGTGCTGTGGGAGTGAAAGAGGGGATGGCAATCTAAAGATATATCAGGTCAGGAAAAAAAAAAAAAGAAAGAAAGGAAAGAAACCCAGAGCAGAGCATGCTGCCACTGTTTAAAAGGTAGGTGAGATTTAAATAGCAATAATCCCCAGAAACTATCTAGTTCAGGTCATTAACTAACAAGCTGGTTAATTCCTGTAGGGATTAATGGTTGAAATTATTATGCCTGACAGATGTTTGCTAAACAGGAATTAGTCCAGAATAAACAGCATGAAGACCAGCAAGAAGTAAAAGTGCAGACAGGTACATGTCAGAGCTGAGTTTTTAGAAATCATTAGCTCAGCCTCTAAAATAATTATAATTTTCCTTTATCTTCCACTTCTTTTTCAGTCTCAGCTCTGTAGCAGGAGATTCCCTTCACAGACTGACACACTAATCTAGATTCTGCTTTCAGTTACAATCATGCAAGGCAAGAAAGAGGTTAGCTGATATTTTCAGGAAATACCTCTGCTGCACAGTTTGGCTGAATGGAATACGCTCTGTAGGCGTCAGCTGTCTCTCGTGCCAGAGCACATGATGAATTCTCCACTCCTAATTCCCCAAAACTGTTGGAAAATATAAAGCAGCATTCTCCCTTGATTAATTATGATCTTGCTGGGTATGCCTGCTGTTACACATTCAATAAAACCCACTGGTTTGGTCTATCCACACCACTACCATTTGCATCATCCTTATGGT